CGGGCGCGGAGGAGGCGGCTGTGAAGACTGAGTTGCTGTAAAGGCAGAAGACGAGATAAGGCTGAAAGGAAAAGAAGGGGGTTGGTGGCCTTGCAGGGCTCAGGGCGGTGAAGGGAGCGGGGATGGTGCAGGGTCTGGGAGGACAAGGCAGGAGCGGAAAAGGGGCTGTGGGCGCTGGGATGGGAAGCAAGGCTGGAGAGCGGGACTGACGACAGAGGGAAGGGCAGGATGGATGGGGCCAGGACTGGGGCAGGGAAGGTTGCTCAAGACTGCGCTGCACCTGGGGAGGAGGCTGGTTTGCAGGAATGTTTGTTCTGGAGCTTCAGCTGTAATCTGATAGAGCAGCCTGTGTCACTGCAGGCCCCACTTAGGCCTGGTGAGTGTCCCAGCCCCGAGGGGAGCCTGGTCTGCACTTGTGTCTCAGGCTGGGACACTTCAGTCCCTGAGGAGCCGGGGTTGTTTTGCTGGGAGTGTAACAGCAGCCTTAGTGCAGAGGCTGTAAAGGTGCTTCTGCGAGCGCAGTTCAGGCTTGGAAGACAGTCACTTGATACAGACTTCCTTATCTTTAGCTGAGCTGCCTGACCATGTTCTGGCCGTGCTGTGTGCTGCTATGGGTAGCGCTGGGCACCTCTGTGCACACAAAGCCTGGACAAGCCCAACGCAGCAGTGTCAGCTCTGAGGTGGAACCTGTGCTCAACGGGAGAGACCCCTCAGCAGGTGCCTTGTTCTGTGCCACTTTTTCCTGAAATTGCTTTTGAAGCTCTTCAGCCTATGGCGTTCCGAACTTTGACAGGAGCCATTTCCTTTGATTTCCCCTTTCAGCTGATTTCTGTGTTGGTTCTTGTTGCTTTCCACGCCCCCCACCCCTCCATAAAATACCCCACATTGCAGGGCAGCCTGCGAGGTTTGCTGAGCTGTGGCGTCGCTGCATTCAGGCTCTCTGCTCTTCCTGAGCGTGCTCACTTAACGAAGAAGTTTCTCCAAAGGCACCACCCTCGCAAGAGAGACCTCCCAGGTGACCCTGCTGCAGTTTTACAGCTGTGTCCATTAGAAAATATTATGTATGTGGAGGTTAATCCTGTGTCAAAAATGCTTGTTCATCACAAGTCCATACCGATGCACTCTTCCTGTTGGAGTTGCCTGTGTCCTTAGGCTGATCTAAATGCAGCAGTTGCAGTAGAGGTGGCAGTTTGCAGCCATCCACAGGCTACATGCACCTCAAAATCCTGGCTTCGTGCAGCTAGAACTGGGGTTACTCATTCTGCAACAGTTTGCAGACCGGCAAAGTTTCCCTTTTGCTCGACAGCAAAGCCTCACCTCTGCATCACCACACTTGCCTGGCATCTGAGTGCCCTGGAGTGTCTCCTCATGGCTGCTGTTGGTGTGGCTGATGATATTCAGCCTCTGATTCACCTACAGGTTGTTCTTTTGTTTAGAAAAAATAACAAACTGGGTGATGTTTCTGTATAATTTCTGTGCCTTGGGTATGTTGCTGCACGAGAGGAAGTTATTTACTTCTGCATTTTCTTTTGTGCTTGTGCTGAGGCCCTCCTGTCCAGGCAAGTGCAGGGTAGAGACAGAGGTCTGAGACATGTAGAGAGGTGGATTTTTTTTTTCCTCCAGGTTTCAAGTCTTCTAGCGAGTGTGTATTACTCAGTATTTATGCATGTGAGATTTCTTCTCCCTCCAGCCACAGTTCCAGGGTGATTCCTGTGCTGCTGGGAAT